TTGAAAAAAATCTCTGCATGGACAACTCAGTTAAGACTCTATCTCTAAAATAACAATAACAATAAATGACCTAGGGTGTAGCTCGGTGGTAGTGGTAAGATGCTTTCCTAGTACGCACAAAGCCCTGGATTCAAATCCCAGTAGAGGGGGGTTAAAAAAAAAAAACACTGAATAATTTAACCCCAATATATGCTTAGTCTTGGCTCGGCTAATATCCCAAATAGTTCTATTATTTTCAAATATTTATTTTAGCCCACAAAGTTAGTCATAGAGAATACCCCACATTTTCTCCCAAAATATCCTCTACTTTCTCTCGTTTTTTTTTTTTGTTTGTTTGTTTTTTTCAGATAGGGTCTCACTATGTAGTTGAAACTGACCTGGAACTCACTGTGTAGCCCAGGCTGGTCTCAAACTCACAGTGATCCTCCTGCCTCAGCCTCTGAGTGCTGGGATTACAGGCGGGCACCACCACACCCGGCTCTCCTCTACTTTCATCCTAACACAAACCGATGCAACAAAACTCAGTTACAAGCTCCACTAGAGGATGTCAGCAGGTTCCACTGTTTATTACCTTTTAGAAAGCAGTTTTTGTTAAGTTTTCTGTATCTTGAAATGGTATATAATTAAGGTTCCACTGTAGAGAAGACTGCTTTTTTAAAAAGGCATTTTATATAACTAGGTTTTACCCACATTTTAACAAATGGCTCTGAGATCATATTACATCTGATGACAAACAATGCTTCATAATTTTAGAATGTTTTAAAATTAAATGCCACCTGATAAATCTCCTGGAGAAGGAATGTGAAACTTAGAATAAATGACTCCTGTAAGATTAGAATTATATAACTGCTAGGAATTTAACAGCAAACAAAGTATGTGTTACCCTCAGTAAAATATAACAGTGCTCTAGTGAAGAAAGAAGCTTTACCATAAATATAAAAGTTATGGTTCAAGTACACGTAAGTCACTCCTACTGGGAAAAATTCCAGATATAGGTCAGCAAACAGATGGCATATCAGCTAAAAAGGGACTCAAAAGGAAGGAAACAAAGGATTCACAATTGCACTGTTACATGTATTAGTAGATAGTGTCCATAGGAATAAAACTAGAAAGGCTCTGGACACCTGGAGAAGGTATAATTGAAATATGGTGTGTGTGAATTTTTTAAAATGTGTTACAGCGAAAGACACATTGCCATTCACTCCGTTGAAATGCTCTCCCAGCTTCCACTACTCATCTTGTGGCACTTGTCACTCCGAAGCGGGCCTGGAAGTGCTCTTTTATGAGTTCTTTAGTTGCACTGCTGTAGCTGCCCCAATGTCCTGAGTCAGTTGCACGGAACAAGAGCCAGGGAATAAGATAAATGAAGACACACTATGTTTTTATAAGCCTGCCTTTCCCTTCTTCGTTAGCACTCAGTAGCAGCATTCACCATATTTTTTAACTACACCTAGGAAAAACACTCATGGAAGAGAACTTCCGGAACTGCTTCAGAAAGTGGCCAGAATCATGTGAGAAGTACACACTTTCAAGGCAAGAGGGAATAATTTAAGAGGATTGATAACAATGTATATTTCATTGTGATAATTTTACTTAAATATTCATAGTATTTTTCAATCACCACACACATAGACACACAAGTTCACCAACAGATAAGCTTCAGATCCCCCGCAGACAGGCTGGCAAACAGTGATTTCCCCATTAGTATACAAATTATCTTTTTTCCCCCATGCTAGAGACTGAATTCAGTGCCTTGTGTATACAAAGGAAGCACTCTTACCTCAGAGTTATATCGCCAGCCCCAAGTTATCTTTTCAATAACATTAATTTTACAGTCAACAGTGATCGCTGAATTTTCTCAAGCACAAGCAATGGTAAAAGAAAAAGTAAAACAGTAAAATGCCTTAATTGTCTGTTGTGTTGGTAGATTTAACAAATCTTTGTTGATTTGATAACTGTTAGAAAACATTTAAGAGCTTTCATAAATTTGTAACCTTAGTTTCATTAACTCCTTTCTACCAAGCACTCTTCAGATAAAAAGAGCTAAGCATAGCCGGGCATGGTGGCGCACCCCTGTAATCCCAGCACTCAGGAGGCCGAGGCAGGAGGATCACTGAGACCAGCCTGGGCTACAGTGACTTCCAGGTCAGTCTGAACTATATAGTGAGATCTGTCTCAAAAAACACCAAAAAAAAGAGCTAAGCATAACAAAGTACCTACAGCCATGGAACTAGACAAGAACAGACAATAAAGTAAATGCAAAATATGTGAGAACACGCTATATATGTAGTCTCTGTGTTTGTAAAGTTGGGGTAGAGGGAAAGAAGGGACCATACAGTGGTTGGGGAAGGCCTCTCTGAGACAGAGTAACCCAAACAAAATGAGGAAAAGGAATACTGTGAGGAAAAACTAACCACACACAGATGTGGAGGAAGGATACTGCACACACGACAGAGAGCAAACGCAAAGGTCCTGAGATAAGAATAACTTTGGTATGTCCAAAGACCAGCAAAATCCAAGTGGCCACAGCCAGAAAAAGGTAGAGAAAAAAATCAGGGAGCTACAAACAGGAACCTAATCACACTGGGTGTGGTGGGCCCTGGGTAGGATGTAATTCTGAGTGTCATGGGGAGCCACTGCAGCAGGGGAGCACTGTGAATTCACTTATACTTTAAAAATTCAGTCTACCTGCTATGCCCAGAACTCACTGCAAAAGGGCAAGAAAGGAAGCGGAGACACAGCCGGGAGGCTATGGTAGAGCCTAAACAAGAGCTGGCAGTGCTTTAGCCTTAGAAGTGGCAGAGAAACTATTGACAGTTTGGTTTGGGGAATTCAGTCACAGAAACGTAAAGGATAAAAATTAAGTTGATACTAATTTCCTGCTAATCTTTTTTTTTTTCCAGAATACATCCATTATGGTTAGTACGGTGGCTGTCTACCTGCTGGCTCTCATCTCTACACTCCCTTCCGTAGTCTCCTCTTCCACACTAGCAGGGGCTAAAAACATCTACAGCATATTCCCAGCCCCCCTTCTCAGTGCTTTAAAGAATATAGGAGAGACAGGAATATTTCAAGGGTAATACATTATGAGGAAAACATTTACTGTATTATGTTAATTTACAATCAGTAACTATACCAAAAAGTCATTCTGAGTATATTACATATTAAGATGTTTAAATATAAAGGATCATTTAATTTCAAAAGAAATCAAATGTAATAAATTTCAAAAGAAATCGAATGCTTCTAAATTCAGTACAAGATAAAAAGAAAACTAGAAAGTGGTCAAACTGGTGTAAAACATTAAAGCTGAAACTATACAATTTTTTTTTTTTTTTTTTTTTTTTGGTACCAGGGATCAAACTCAGGTCCTTGCTCTTGCAAGGCAGGTGCTGGAACCACTGAGCTAACTCCCTGGGCCCAAAACTATACAATTCTTAAAAGATGAGAATAAATCTTCATGACCTTGGATTTAGAAATGGATTCTCTTAGATATGACAATAAAAGTACAACAACCCAAGAAAAAAATGGAAAAACAGGACTTTATAGAGTTCATAAAAATTTAAAACTTTTGTGTATCAAAAGACACAATCAGGGGCTGGGGATTTGGCTCAGTAGTTCCACCGCCTGCCTCGCCTGCCTTGCAAGCTTAAGGTCCAGGTTTGATCCCCGGTACCAAAAAACAAAAAACAAACAAACAAAAAAGACATAATCGGGAAAATGAAAAAGAAGGGGTGATTATATGATAGCTCATGTGTTTAGCAATCCTAAGAAGGGGAGAAAAACCTAGAAAACTACAGAATGAAAGAAAATACTTGAATAGTGTACAATGATAAAAGTTTAATAGTCAGAAGTTATAAGAACTCTACAAATACAACTCAACAACAATAAAAATTTTAAAAGAAAAAATTCCAATAGACTACAATAGTAACAATGGCAGAAGATACATAAATGGTCAATAAGCACATGAAAATGTTCAAACCACATTAGTCATTAGGGAAATGCCAATTAAAATCACAATAAGGTATCTCCTCTCTCCCAGTAACATGGCTATAATTTTTTAAAGAACAAAAATACTTTTGACAGCTTTTCAGAAAGGTAAAGGTAGAACTGCTACATTACACAGCAATTCCACATAAGTAGATACACTCAAGAGTACTGAAAACAGACACTTGAGCAGATACCTGTACCTGTCATTTCTTGTACAGCTAAAATGTAAACTAAAATTAAAATAAATATTGTCATATAACTTAATCCTTAGTATATTGAGCAACCAAAAAATTAAGATCAAATTAACTAAGACTGAAAAATTAGAATTTTATAAAGAATAAATGTAATTACTAATATTCATGAAAAGAGAGCTAATTATTTACTGCTTCAAAATTAATTATAAGATAGCCATATTAGTTGAGCTTTTTAAAAAATATTAAAAGTATATAGCTTATAATCTACTGTTTTTGGTAAACTTTTAGAAATTATTATGTGTGTATTTAGAATTCATGATATAACAGATATCCCTCAATCTTGAAAGATATATGCCCTCAAATCTTAAATATACATATAAGTTGATGTCGGCAACTGATTTGGTAAAAAGGCTATATTTGGAGGTACATTATAAGAAACATCTAAGGGCCAGGGATTTAGCTCAGCAGTTCGGTGGCCTGCCTTGCAAGCACAAGGACCCGAGTTCAATCCCCAGTACCAAAAAAAAAAAAGAAACATCTAAATTTAAAATGACTTTTACTTCTTTATTCTTAAATGTTTCAAAATCGGCAGAGCCATAGTTTACACAAGCTTAGTTGGTATCTATGTTGCAGATATTAAATTCACTATATTAGACTGAAAAATAAAACACACACACAGGGTACACTTAGATCCACTTAACCAAAAGGCTATTGACCAGTCATTAAATTCAATGAATCATTCCATAAAATACTGCCACTCAAGAGAGGTACTAAAATACTAACATGATCATAGTATAACACCTACTTACTAACACTTACTGTGTGAAAATTTATCATTTCTTGGAGGCTGTCAGAAAACTTGGTCAAACTTGTCTATGAGAAAGAAACCAAAAGAAAATCAAGTCATTTAAGTGCCAATGAAACAGTTCACAAAATGTAACTTTAGCATTTTTGACAGAAAGAGCAAAGTTACTCTGTAAATAGTAACATTTACTACCCAGGACAAGCCCACTAGCTCAAGGCATGCTCAGCAGTCCAGGGACCTTGCTCTCCCCACACAGGCCCTCAGGCAGGCACAGAGATTTAGTGAACTGGCCAAAACACTGCGAGGCAGGGTTAGGAGATGAGAGTACATGTGCACAATGCAAATCAACTGTCAATGCCACTATCCTTGAAATCACGATTATGTAACACATCAAAGACCAGTTTTTCTCCTTTAAGTATGCCTATAACTATTAACAAGATAAATGGATACATAATTATTTAATGTCTTTTGCATTTATCATTTTAACTGTAATTTTAATAATACTAACCTCAACTACAGCATCATTACTAGAATACTGTGCTAGGTCTCGAATTCCATTCATAAACTGTTTATTTGCAACACAAAAGGCTTTTCCAGTATCGATCATCACAATACAAAGCTTCACAAGCTGAAAAAGAAAAGAAATTACATCAGATTGAAAATAATTTTATAGATTAGTTGAACAAATTTTGTCAGTAAACACACAATTTAGCCCAGTTAAGATAAATTATGCTTCATCAATAAATCCAAGAGACTAGCTGAATGAAAATTGTTCCTTTAGCCTATAAAGTAAATTAATTCATAGAAGAGTTGTACAAAAAAATAACCTTTTAAGACTCAGAGGCTGTCCGATAAAACAACAAAAAGTCATTCTATTCAGTTAAATTCAGTCCCATAAATTAGATCTGTGAAGATTTATTAAGAACCTCCTAGAAGAAAGAAAAGGATAAGCAAGCATTATGATAAAAAGGTTTTGTTTGAACTGTGGTATATTTGAGGAAAGATGAGTAAACTGGTATAATAGGTTAACATGCTGATCATTTTGGTATTGTTCTATCAAAGCAGATATCTTAATTAATTAAACACTATTTAACAATATTTATCATTGGGGCAGGGATTTAGCTCAGTAGTGCCACTGCCTGTCTCACAAACACAAGGTCCTGAGTTCGATTCCCAGTATCAAAATAAATAAATAAATATTTTTCCAATCCCAGCTATTCTAGGCACTACACTAAGCATCAGAACTAAATACCCTTCCATCTTTCTTTTTATCTCCCCTGACTTTTGTCCCTTCTTTCTCACTCCCTTTATTCCCTTTCTTTTCATTCTTCTTTCTTTTATTCTTGGGTGAATGTTAAATATTAAAAGCAAAAGTAGAGCTGCTCTGGATGATGAAGGGAAAGGTATTGAAGAGGGGGAAAAGGAAGGATACCAAGAAAATAAAGTGTCAAGAAAAACCTAAACTCCTAAAGGATCTCAAAAGTATTTAAAACTTTTGTTCTAGGGAGCAGAGGAACAGAAGTTAAGAAAATACAACCCTGGGCCAGGGATTCAGCTCAGTGGTACAGCCACCTGTCTCGTAAGCACAAGGTCCCAAATTTGATCCTGGTATCAAAAAAAAAAAAAAATAACCTCTATTCTCACAGAGTGCTATGACCAAACCATGGACGAGCAAACAAAAGAAGAATACCTGACCCAGAGTGTGGAGATTAAGAAGGGTTCCTAGGAAAGACATCACAAGGTAATTCTTAGCTTGTAAGAGATTTGATAGATGACAGATTGCACAAGTACCAGGTGCAATCTTAATATATAGTCTACCTCTCCCCCAAGCACTTGATATCAAAGCCCCAAGTTCCCTATATGCAAGCAAGTGCTCTACCACAGAACTACACACCAGCCCAAGAGCTTCTAATATATTAATGTGCATCGACGTGCAGCATTACCAAAAATATTTGACCATGGAATTTTCTTTGGAGGAATCATTCCCAAAGGACCAATGTTCCACAAAACCCAGTATAAGAAATGCCAACAGAGATGTCTTTAAAATAGTTTGCTACTTACAAAACAAAATAAGATGTCTTACCAGAAAAACTGATTATCTAAACTTCACAGGAGTAACCAACATGCAAGAAAACAATTTTCTGAGAAAGGAATAAATGAGAGCATTAGCTTTATATGAGATTAAAATATATTACAGCAACTGAAAATTTGGTAGTGAATGTGAATAGACAAACTAGTCAATAGAACAGAATACAGAGTCAAGAAAGAGATGAAAATATTCAGTATTTGATTAAAGTAATATTTGAGCTAATGGTGGAGTGGAAATTCCCCAAAAATTGACATCTGAGACACAGGATAACCATCTGAAGGAGAAAGAAATAAGTTGGATTCCAAATCCGCAAATTAAATTCAGGTGAAATAAAGATTTAAACATTAAAAAATGAAGTAAAATAGGAAACATTTTAAAAAATAATCTCAAAGTGGAAAAGTCTTCTGAAATAGACATAACTTCAAAAGTCAAAGGAAAAAAATGATAAACTCAACTACTTAAAAATAAAATATTCCTTTAAGAAAAAAGTGAACTTAGTCAAGGGACAATATAGAAAAACATATAGCAGCAAATTATAAAGGACTAATTTCCCTACCATAAGAAAGGGCACATAAATCACTCTGAAAACCCAACCATTCACTAGAAAAAAATAGGTGACAGACTCACACAGGTGATTCCTAGAAAAGGATATACAAATGTATCTTAATCCCAAACTCACTCTTAGTAAAAGAAATGGCAGTTAGTAGTTTGGAACAGAACAGCTCAGATCAAAGTTTGGTAACATGCTGTTTTGAAGAGGGTAGGTATAGGGAAACGTACTCTAATACACTGTTGCTGGGAAAATAAATTGGTAACTTTCTGTGAAAGGCAATTTAGCAAAAGCTATCAAAATTTAAAACACACATATTCTCTAGGCCACCAATTTCACTTTCAAAAATGTATCATAGGCCCAGGGATTCAGCTCAGTGCCACCGTCTGCCTCCCAAGCACAAGATCCTGAGTTTAATCCCAAGTAGCAAAAAAAAAAAAAAAGTATCATACAGATACATTTGCACGTAAGCCATATGACACATCTGAAGCTACTCACTGCAGTCACAGTAAAATTCAGCTGCAATCTTTTATTTTTTTAGTGGGGCATAGATTTTGAGATACAGTCTCGCTAAGTAGTTCTGTCTGGCCTTGAACTCCCTATGTAATCCAGGCTGGCCTTGAACTTGCAATCTTTCTGCCTCAGCTTTCCAAGTGCAGAGATTATAGTATAAGTGTGTGCCACTATGCCTGGCTTTGATGGCAATCTTATGTGTCTACCAGTAAACAACTGAATAAATAAGTTATGATATAACTATCTAATGTTATAAAATTCAGCCATTAAAAAACTGAGATGGGGCACCAGGATTTTAGCTCAGTGGTTCCATCTCCTGCCTCGCAAGCACAAGGTCCCAAATTCGATCCTCGGTACCAAAACAAAAAGAGAGAGAGAGAGAGAGAGAGAGAGAGAGAGAGAGAGGTACGGAGTA